AATAGCCAACCCACAAGAGAAGATCAACAAAACACTAAGAATAACAAAAAAGAGTTAACCAACATAAAACAAAAAGAAAATCTAGAAAACAAGAAAAAAATGTGGTTAATAAAGAAGAAGTTAGTCTCAGTTTGAAGTACTGCTAAAAATTGTCAACACAGATGGGACATGCCCATGTATCAGATTATTGGTCGATTTAGGACTCATCATGTGCACAGCCGGCCACCTCAACATTGTGCCAGTGCCGAGTACCATTCACTAGGAAAACAGCAAAAGGACAGGAAGGCCAAAAAACGGAGCCACTTATCAACGCTGCCCAAAAGAAACGGGGCCTGTTACCGCTACCTACTTCCATTCTTCGCCTACCGGCGCCACATACGGTGTAGCCATAAGTGTTATGTTGCCAAGAGAAGAAAAGAAAAATCATGTGGGTCATTCAGTCATGCATGAGGACGATGAACTTTGCAGTGGGGAGAATAGAAGGGGTGCGACTCAGCTTTCAAGGACTCGAGTGATGCTCTCATGTGGACCCGTATGCGGGGATCTCTCGGACATATGCTTGTTCTCGTCGACATCATTGCAAATTCCGGCCAATGGGGCCCAGCACACCGCGCGCTGCTCTCCCTTCACCATCCATCGTCCACACGCTCACGAGGAAGGGAGCGAGACGAGCGAAGTGCAGGTGGTGTCGAGTAATAATGGTACTAGTTGGGAATCAAGGCAGGATGTCAGCAGATGACGCTTAACAAAGCTCGCTCACGGCATCTCGGCAAGAGGAGCCAAAGCTCCCCGGGCGATGTATATATTGTGCATCATGTGGGTCATTCAGTCATGCATGAGGACGATGAACTTTGCAGTGGGGAGAATAGAAGGGGTGCGACTCAGCTTTCAAGGACTCGAGTGATGCTCTCATGTGGACCCGTATGCGGGGATCTCTCGGACATATGCTTGTTCTCGTAGACATCATTGCACATTCCGGCCAACGGGGCCCAGCACACCGCGCGCTGCTCTCCCTTCACCATCCATCGTCCACACGCTCACGAGGAAGGGAGCGAGACGAGCGAAGTGCAGGTGGTGTCGAGTAATAATGGTACTGTTGGGAATCAAGGCAGGATGTCAGCGGATGACGCTTAACAAAGCTCGCTCACGGCATCTCGGCAAGAGGAGCCAAAGCTCCCCGGGCGATGTATATATTGTGCATCATGTGGGTCATTCAGTCATGCATGAGAACGAAGAACTTTGCAGTGGGGAGAATAGAAGGGGTGCGACTCAGCTTTCAAGGACTCGAGTGATGCTCTCATGTGGACCCGTATGCGGGGATCTCTCGGACATATGCTTGTTCTCGTAGACATCATTGCACATTCCGGCCAACGGGGCCCAGCACACCGCGCGCTGCTCTCCCTTCACCGTTCATCGTCCACACGCTCACGAGGAAGGGAGCGAGACGAGCGAAGTGCAGGTGGTGTCGAGTAATAATGGTACTAGTTGGGCGGGAGAATGCGTGTTGCGTTGGCCCTTTTTGTGTACCCATGTAAATTACCCTTTTCGTTTTGTGCTGTTTTTACGCGTTCCGCACCAACCAAAAACAAGTAGAACCGTGATAATAAAGGAGTGGGACCGTTTAGCCTTGAAAATGCCTTTGAGAGAGAGAGAAAGAAGACAAACACAACAGTAAGAGAGAGATGCAAAGAAATGAAGAGGTTGAGTAAAGAAACTGGCAGTGTCACTGGAGGGTCAATTTTCGTCCCTAACCCTTTATTTTCCCCAAATCTCATTTATTGTCGTTGTTGCTCGCTTTTTTTTCCTTTATATATATATATATTTCTTTTGTAGTTTATTTTCCCTCTTGTTGCATTCTCCTTCGCTCGTGGCCCATTCACGCACTTTCCTTTCCCCGTCCTCTCATTGCGTACGGGAGGGCGTCTATCTACGGTGGTGCTATCCCCAGTGTGGGGAAGGGGGTTTGCCGCGAGAGAACGATGGTTTTGTGCTCGTAAGAGATGTAACCACGCACAAGGCCGCTGGCGATGAGTTTTGCCGTCCACCATGTCATTTCGTCGTCCGTCATCACGGATGTTTTGTTCTCATCGTTCTCCTCTCGGTGTCTTTTGGGCCGCTTCTGGTTTGATGCCGCTGCACCCGTCTGCGCCGTTGCTGCTTTCCTCCCCTCATCCACGACGTGGGCGTACGCTGCCGTGAGGACAGGGAGAGGGACGCGGCTGTTGTCAACGCCGCCGCACATCCCGAGTGCGGTCTGCGTGCGGGCGAGCAGCACGAGAAAGCAGTAGAGTTTTGCTCGCTGCAAAAGGAAAAACACCCCGCGCTTTCGAAGAAGCGTGCCAAATGCATCGACGGCGTTTGCAAAGGCGTGTGGGTCGCCCCGTTGCACAGCCAAAAAAATTGGCATAAAGACGAAAGGCGATGAGGTCGTCTGTCCTCAGGATTTCTTCCGGCACCACTTTGCCGTGAACTACACCGGCCACCGTGAGGTAAAAACGAACCCGCTGTTTGTTGCGCTGCTGCACTTCCGTGCCCTCACCTGGTGGCGGGAGGAGATGATAAGCCTTCCGCAGCGCATCGTATGCATCCTCGAAGCGGTGGTCGTACAACATTATACGTCCCTTGTAGTAGCAGAAGTTTACCACCTCGGCAATCATGTGCTGCGCAGGCCGCAAGATGGATTTGCCCCAGTCCCCTGTCGACTCTGCTATTTTTTCCGACTGTGCGACCGAGTTGACAAGGATGCGGCACTGGTGTGTGTTGTAGCGATGAAAAAGGATACTCAACAGGCCGTTGCAGACTGCAAGGGCGCCGCGGCGACGGGAGTGCTCTGGCGACTCTTGTGGGTCCGCTGTCTGTAACGAAAGCAACAGTTTGCGCCAACTCCTCACAATTTGCCCAGTGGCCTCATCAATAACGTGCTCGCTAGCATCACGTGCAACCCGCGGGATGCGGTGCACAAAGTGAAGTAGCAGCAGCGTGTCCCAGCCAACGGTGCCAACGGTACTGCCGCCGCGTCGCCGTGGCGTATAGTGACTGCGCCGCATGGAGTGCACCTCCTGGAACGCCTCAAATACGTGCAGCATGCCCCGTGCAAGCGTGTCAAAGTACCGTTGCGGTGGCTTTTCGCCGCCGCTGTTGCTCTCACTGGCGCCGTTGTTATGACCGCTCTGTGGCTCCATGCGTTGGTAGCGCGCGAGTGCCCCAGTGACGGCTACACGCACCATCACATCGACGTACAGCTGCCGCTCCTTCACGTCATCCGCGCAGCAGCCGGGTGTTCCGCGGTGCCTCGAATGAGACGATTCCACCCGCTCCATGAGGGTGCAGCGCAGGTCCTCCACCGCCGCCTCAATGTTCTTGAGCACCGCCGCACTCGGCAGCTCCGTCGCCTCGCCCTCCTCCGCGAGGGTGACGCAGTCCGTCAGCAGCACACCGTTGCGTGAGGCAATGGCGTCCGCGGTGCGATCTAGCCATTCAGGCGACACGATCAGTGCCGCTTGCGCCTCCGTCCTGCGGTTGTTCTTCCGCATCTAATTAGAGACTAGGCGTAGCACACACACACACACAAAAAAAAAAAAAGATGAGAGAGAAAGTACAGCTGCACCTCATACCTCCGCTGAGGAGTTTATTCGCCACGCACATCTGTGACGCGCCACCAAACCACATCATAGATCTCTTGCGATTGCCTCACGTCGGGGTGAGAATGACACACCAATTCTCCTTGTCGTAGTACGACTCCCGCACCGATGCGCCCGCCTCCACAGCAAGACTCTCCAGTTCTCCCTGTACAAAAAGGTGGTAGTAACGCTGGTACACACGCTTCTCCTTGTCGTATTTCTCGTGCATCTCCCATGGGATGAGGACATCCGCCTCGTCATTTCTGGATCGCTTCCTCGGCTGCTCTTTCGCCCACACGCTGATCAGCACAAGACCGTCGGGCCGCACAAGGCGAAGTAACTCCCGGATGGCCTCCAACCGCCCCGCTTGTGTGGCGAGGTGATGAATGACTGCGATGCTAATGACGGCATCGAAGACTCCACCGCGGAGTGCAGTGCGACGGCCATCAGCGCGCAGAAGGTCTGTGCGATTAATAACTTGACTCTCTGAACCCAATTTCTTTTGTTGTTCTTGTGCCAGTCGTAGAAGTCCCTCACTCAAGTCAATGCCCACAACGTAACGGCATGCGTCCTCCACATCGTCGGCCTCAACCGTCACCTCCACGTCGTCGATGTGTGTCACGGTCGCCTTCCGGTGGCACTGCGCACAGGTGAAGTACTTCCCGTTCCCACAGCCGACGTCAGCCACCAAAGAGTACTTTGGAAGGGACTCAATAAAAGCCTGTACTTTGGGCCACGCCTTGTACCGTGTTGACGAGAAGTGAGACGCAATGGCGTCATACACCTTCAGCACATGTTCCCGCTCCAACACATCGCCCTCCACCAGCCGCACCGGACTCACCTCCTGCGCATCACCGGCATTCGCCATGTGGGAAAAAGTGAGGTGGAGGAAAAAAAATTTGCGTGTGTCCTGAAGGAAACATTCATAAAGACAAAAAAAAAAAGATAAAAATAAAAAATAAAAGAAATGCGGTGCGTGTTTGTGGAGGGGTGCAAATAACGTAGCTGGCCACAAAATGAAATTCGCAGTAAACCAGAGGCCAACATGCAGACATCATATTACATTTCCCTCGCCACACAGGCATGCATCATGCCCTTCCTCCATTCACCGCACGAACAAACACAAATAAAGAAAAAGAACCACGCGCTCCATCCCTCTCATTCATCCATATTCTCTGAATTCGCAGCAGCAGCAGCAACCCACACAGAGAGAAAAAAAAAAGAAAAAAAGAAACAAAAACGGCGTATAAATGACATTTCTTCTTCCAGGAATAAAAAAAAAAACGAGGGTAAATCTGCACGAGCACTCGCACGCGCAACGGCAGCGGAGGAAATGCCACAACTCGCGCAAAGAAAACCATTACCTCCCGTTTTTCTCATTCAGGAGTCTGAAGAGGTGGTCACGATGCGTTTGCCGTGCCAGCTCCACTCCATCACCGCTTCCTTCATTTTGGCCCGCGCCACCACATTATTCCCGCCGATGACTTTGGCGGTGCCCACCTCGTTGAACCCACGCTCATCCTCCAACGAGGCAATAATGTCCTCCAAAATAGCCTCCGCCAATTGCTTTACATCAACCCGAGAGGTGAAAACCCCGAGTATTTTTTCCACAAGCTGTAGGTTGTCTCGCTGCAGGAGCCCCGGCCTCCAGATGGTGAGGTGTGAGTTGTCCCACAACTTCACAACGTCGCGACGAAGCAACATCTCTGCCCGTCTCCGTGCCATGACGGACGCCTCCTCCCCCAACGCGTAGTCACGATCGTCGTCAACGTCATCCTCGTCGCCGCGCGGTCCACGCCGTTGCATGAAGTTGTCTTGGATGTCATCCTCGTTGCGATTGAACAGGGCGAGAAGCTCCTTGTCAAACTCCCCGTGTGCACGAAAGTACGGCAATGAGTTCCATAAGCTGCCACCCATCACACTCACTTGTGTGAACTGGCGAAGTGTGCCCACCCCACCACGGCTGAGTCGTTGCTCGGGACATGTTGGCAGCACATCCTCCTCCTCCCCATCCCTCTTTTCTTCAAGTTCCTCACCCGTATAAAACCACCTGCAATCGGCGTGGCCATAACAAGCGGCGTAGATCTCCCCCCAAAGAACACTGTTCTGCTTTGTTGCGTGTTTATCCATAAGCATCTCCTCCTCCTCTGAGGGCTCAGCGTGTACCATACAGTTGAAAATGCGGACTATTTTGGCAAAGGCTATCGCGTATTGATGATCCACCGCATTCACCTCAGACCGCATAAAACGATTCCTCGAGCTCAAACAGTTGATAACGACATGGTGGCCGCTGAATACAGATTTATAAAAATTAGTCTCCAGCAGTTCATTCAAAAACTTATTTCGTGCCTCAGCACTCGCTGTGGGATCCCCCATCGACATTTTAACGTAACCCGCCTTGCTCCTGCTGCCGGATGTGGTGGGAAACCGGCTGGCGTTGCGACCGCCTCTCCCGAGTGCCTCGTCGCCGTTCACGCCCCTGTTGGTCCCGTTTTTCTCACCGCCCCTACCGCCGCATGGGCCTCCCGTGTTGGATCCACGTGCCGCCTTCCGTGACCCGCCGTTGCCCTTCACGCCGTTGTTGCGCGGACGGCTGAAGCGCAGCCCCGTCGCTGCCGCACTGCCGCGTATTCTTCTCCAGGCGTCCAGCAGTCCCGGGTTGGCTTCGCTCTCGTTGCTCCACACACCTGCACGGACATACGACGCGGGAACGTGAGAGGCGTCGGCGGCAATTTTATCCCAGTCGACGGAGACGACGGAGAGACATCGTAGGGCATCGCCGGGGTGGATCCGCGGGAAACTCGAACGCCACCGGTTGATGGGGATTGGTGTCTGCGAGAGCGCCACCACACGCCCCACGTCCGGGTGCGAGACAAGAAGTGAGACAAGTTCGCGTCCAATACTTCCATTCGCACCCGCTATGAGCACAGAAAGCTGTTTTCCTTTGGAAACCATTCACCGCCCCCTCTGTGGCCCACCCCATGAATGAATAAATAAATACGCAAATAAGGAAGGAAAAACAAGAGCGAAAGGCACACGTGTACGACGGCAGCATCTCTCCCTCCCCCTTTTTCCCCCCCACACACACAATAAAAATATATATATTTATATATATATGTATATATACACTCTGAAATGCAAACCCACAAATCCACCAACACCAGTGCAGAGAAAACACACAGATAAACACCCCTGACCCTCTTACTGGCGTCGGGCGTTTTATTCCTTTTTATTTCTCCTTCATGAAATATATATATATATATATATTGTATTTCTTAAAAGTCCCTTACATTGCCTCAGCCCCCTTCACTTCCACGCTGTATCTCTTACTCCCTCAGGCACAGCTCCGATCTCTTAGAGCAACAGTGAAAGTGGGTTCTCGATAGCATCCTTAAAATGCTTGCACCACTCCGCGCCAACTGCGCCGTCGACAACGCGGTGGTCGAAGGACGCCGTGAACTTGATGACCATTTCCACCTCCGTGCCTACCTGGTACTTGCCCGTCTCCTCGTTAAATGATATCTTTGGCCGCGGCTTTGCAGAGCCAACGGCAAGAATGAGTGACTGCGGGGGGTTAATGATGGCCGTGAATCCGGGGATGCCGGAGGCACCCAAGTTGGAGATGGACACCGTACCGCCAATGAATTCATGTGGCTGCAACTTACCGTCACGCGCCTTCTTTGCAAGTTCTTTCATTTCTGTCGAGATATCCGCCAGTCCCCTTGCTTGAGCATTCTTGACGATGGGAGTAATAAGACCTGTTGGGGTTGCAACCGCCACGCTTACATCAACCGTGTTGTACTGGCGTATCACATCCCCCTGCCAAGAGGAATTGGCCTCCGGTACCAAAATGTTCGCCCTCGCCACCGCCTTAATGGTGTAGTCATTCACGGTGATCTTGTACTTGCCATCACCCTTGGCGTTCAACTGCTTAATGAGTGCTAGCATGTTGTCAGCACAACACTCCTCAAATAGGTAGTAGTGTGGAATATCCACATTCTTGGACTGCGTTAGACGCCTTGCGATTGTCGCACGCATGTTGGAAACGGGAATATCCGTGTAGTTCTCGTTCACCGCTGGTGTGAGCTTCGATGTTGCCGCTACTGTTGCTACGTCTGGTGCCGGCATTTGCTTGGGAATGGATTGGACTTTGGTTTGGGCCGCTTCTGCCGCGGCCGATGACCTCGCGCTGCCGCTAGCTGCCGCCGCCTCCACGTCTTTCTTAACGATACGACCAACGCCACCGCCGGTGCCAATGATGCCCTCCAGCGACACGTTGAGCTCCTGCGCCGTCTTGCGGGCAAGCGGGGATGCCTTTACGCGGCCACCGCTCGTGGAAGGTGATGTGGGGATTGGCGCGGCGGGACCAGTCGAAGGGGACGCGGCAGCTGCAGATGGTTCCTCTGCCCGTGATGGGGCAGCACCCTCTGCATGCCAGTTCTTCACCTCGTCCGAGTTGATGCCGTCTGCCTCGTCAACGATAAGACAAACCGTGTCACCAACGGAGGCCTCCTCGCCAGTCTGGACAAGAATACGGGCAACAAATCCCTCCTCTGACACGTTGTCGTATGACACGACAGCCTTGTCCGTCTCAACCTTGCACCATGTATCACCAGAGGCAACGGAATCGCCGACCTTCGTGACCCACTCCGAGATCTTTCCCTTCTCCATTGTAGGGGAGAGTGCCGGCATCGGGATAGGCGTAATAGTCAGGAGCCGAAGAGAAGCCACGGCGCTGCTGAGCTGCTGAACCACACGTCGGCGAAACATCTTTTATTTAAGTAGAGTGTACACCTGTGTGCTTATTTATCCTGTTTATTTATTTACTTATGTTATTTTTTTTTTCTTCCCTCAGTCTTTTCTTCTTCTTTTAGTGTCGTTGTGATCCATAAAAAGAGGAAGAAAAAAAAAAAAAAAAAGAGTCGCGGCGGCGGGTGGCCATGCAGGCAAGTTAATAATAATAATAATAATAATAATAATAATGCGCATGCGGCCCACATATTTTCTTCATGGGCAGAGTGGAGAGCTCAGCCCCTCCCTCATCGCGGCACCATCCACAATGCATGAAGAGACAGCCATTAAGCGCGTCATTGCGAGGAGCAAGAAACACGCATTTCGGCCACAACGGTGTCTCCCACACTCACACACACACGCGAAGAGAGAACCAAAAGAAAGCGGTGTTCCTTTTTATTTTCCACTCGAGGGATTTTACCGCCCCACTCGCCAGCAACTCAAAAAAGAAAAAAAAAGCACAAAAAAAAAAGGAGCGTCGAGAACGACGTCTCGCCATGTCCGCAGATCCCGTTGTTTTTCTGTTCGCGGTCCGCGGGTGGTCCCCCTCAGACATTTCCCTCCCCCACCCAAATGCCGCGTCATTTTCGCTAATTCGTCCATTCCACAGTTTTGAGCCCGTTGAAGAGCAGTGACTATAACAACAATAATAAAAGAAGAAGAAAAAGAAGACAAAAAAAAAAAAAAAAAAGAAGAAGTCAAAAGCTAAAATAAACCAATAATAATAATAATAATAATAATAATAACAGTTTATTATTATTATTATTTTCAGTCACAGTTGACATCGCCTCCTGCGCAGCACTCTCCCATCACTTCTCATCCTCTTGTAAAGGCCAAACGGCATGAAACCTCCCCGTGTTATTTCAAGGAAATTATAATAAATACATCTATGCATGTATATATTATATAATAATGTTTTAATCCTTCTATGCAGTCACCATTGTTAGGAAATGCGCGTGTTCTTTGCTGCCTCTTGCAAAACAAATTCCTTGAATCGTCGACGTTTTGTATCAAACCGGCTTGTCATGACCAACTCTGTATGGAGTGCATTGATCTGGTCCCGTGAAAAACGTGAATAGAGAGCCGCGGTGTACGTTGGATATCGATCCACGTATGTGTCCGAGAGAAAAAACACCAGCCGCTCCCGATCCTTAAAAGACAACACGGCATCATCGGCTCGCACAGAAAATTCAAGCATGCGTCCAAAGGCCAGCACCGCAAACTCTTCCACCTGCGCCTCCATGGCGCTGTTCCCGCTGCAGCCGCTCCTGCTGAGATCAACGGTTGCGTTGATAAAGCGGGGGGCGTCATAAACATTAGACCCGCTTTCCAGAATGCTCAGCGCCACCTCAATAACGAGATTTGTGAGCGGCACGTTTCCCGATAACAAATTTTTCTCAAGAATATTTTGCCGCATAAATGTGAAAATATCCTTGGAAAAGTAAAACAGCTGCTTCGTATCAATGATTTCATCTTCCGGGCGTGCTGAGACGCGTCGTGCAACGCGGGCAAAAAAGACACCGCAGATTGGAAGGATGTTCGCAATAAGATCGGTATGGGAAGTGCCAATGGGAAACACGCAATGCACTATCAATGATCGCATGGTGTGCGTCGGCAAAAGCTCTGCTGAGGATGTCAGCATCTGTAACATCCCTCGGAGAGCCTCTGACGGCAAAAATGTACTCAGGGATCCAACAACTTGATATAATGACATGCGAAGATCCATAAGAGCCATTCGAGCCTTTTCTTTGTTGCTTTGGCGCGGCACACTTTTCCGTGACCGGCCAGGCAAGTACTGCTCACGGACACCACCATCCATTTCAAGTATGCAAGCATACTCTGGCGGTAGCTGATCTGCACGAAGACCATGAATAAATTCCATAAGCCGTACAATATATGGTGTCAACTCTGTGGAAGATTCAACTAAGTAGGGAGACGTCTTACAACGACGCATGACCCCTGCAACAATGACCACGCTATCACGAAGCATATTCCGTTCATTTTGAAGGTCACTGCCTTGCGCCACGATAATGCTGTTAAACTTCATCTGATCCAGGGACTGGACACGCTGTATCAACATCTTCACAATAGGGGTGAAGAAAGATTGGAGTCGGTGTAGTCCTTCATCTTCGGGGAGGACACTGGTGAGCGCCGCCATGGTTTCATAGAGGAATGTCCTCTCGTGAGGCGTTGTGGAAGGCATCATCAGAAGTTGCTCTATTCGTTTCATAAAGGGTTCGCAAAGGTCCACAAATCGTGCGGCATGCTGACTACTTGCGGTAACCAAAAGCGTGACGGCACGCTTGCGAGCCGACATCTCGTCAACGTCGTACTGATCTTTATGCCTATGCAAAAGGCAAGAAAAAATAATATTGAGTGTTCCATCCCACACACCCAGTGCTGCGTCATCTTTACAGCTCCAGAAGGATGAGAGCATGTTGAGATAGACGGGACAGAGAACCATGTCCTCTGTGTGTTTCGCTATCAACGCCGCAATCGTCTGTGAGACGTAGTCCGAGGAGTACTTAAACGATTCTGAAAGATGACTAAGTAGAAACTGCGTCGCCTCCCATTCACGAAACGTGAGACTCTGCTGCGTCACAAAGCCGGATTGCGTTCGGGGATCCGCCAAAGTTCCACGGCCATCGCAAAGAGTTGTGAGAAGCTGTAAAATAAACTGATTGCTAACGACGGGGTAAATGCGAGCCAGAGATGTAAGCAGATGGCCTGCAAGACTGCGGAACTCCGCAAAGCCACGCTCAAACGGCTCGATAGAGCCGTATTGCTGCTCGGACAGCCGTTTTCCCTCGTCATCGGTGCCAAATTCTGGGTGAAACTTATTCTTTGGTATCAGCGAGGCAAAACGCACCATTAATTCCAAGGGGCTTACGTGAGCAAATGCGGCATCACCCAGTCGCTTCAAAAGATGACACACAGACGTGGCCAGATAAATACTTGGGACTCGCAACACCACTAGACACGATTGACTGACAGGAGCGACTACAGCCTGAATGATTGAGTCAGGCAAATCAAGCAGGAGATCCATGATTTCTTCTAGAATGCCGTAATTCACCTCCATCACATACGCCTCTACGCAGTCAAGCACGGCTGCAACAAGCGCCAAAAGCTGTTGGTTCATTGTTGTCTCCGTTGCTGTTGAAACC